CTCTTTTCCATCAGTGTGACCTACATAATAATTTCTTTTAAGATAATCCTCTAGCATGTAAAATATCTGCATTGTACTACAACATACATGTTCTGTAAATGTATAATTTGTTTTCATAGTATTTACATTAATGTGAAAGTTTCTAGAAAAAATATTTTTCAGAAACTATTAAGAATAGTTGTTTTGAGGCTTTTTATAAACAGATTTAATATTGCACCCTTAAGAGGTATGGCCTGCTATCACCCATATCACTTACTATGAGTGAAGAACAGAAACAATGCATTTCTGTTCCTAAACTGTTTCTTGGTAACTGCTAGGCGATTTTCAGAGTTACACATTACAGGCAGTTGCCGGGTTACAGACAACCCAATTTACGACACTCTATACTTATGAACAGGCTCCCGAGGCTCCCCACAAGGATAATTTATAATTAAATAATTAATAATTCGGAAACTAGATTCTTCCACACACATAAACAAACCCGCTGGTGTAAATGGGTGGTTGGCGCGGCATCCTCAAGCCTGCAGCTAGTCTCATTGTCCGCAGTCGCTCACGCACAGCATCGCTTCCACCTTAACTTTTTTATTTGATTTTGTGAGTCTCTGTTTCCCCTTTGGACCATGCCTCCAAAGCAAAGGCCCACTGCAAATCCAGGTGCGCCTGCAGCGAAGGGAAAGGTGATTGCAACGGGAATGAAAGTAGAAATCATTAAGCGTTCGGAGAAAGGCCAGGCGCCATCACTCGCTGGGAAGGCATCAGGCTTTAGTCGCTCGACTATCGGAACAATTATACACGATCGGGTGAGAATACTGCAACATGTGAAAGGCAGTGCTCCGATGAAAGCACCAAGTATTACTAAGCTGCGTGGTGGATTAATCATTGAATCAGAAAAGTTGTTGATTTAACCAGAAGATCAAAATAAGCATAACATTCCTATTAGCCTGGGAATTAAAACAAAGCACGGTAGTTTCTGTAACTTATTATTACAGTACAGCAGTATTATTATTATTCTAGTATTGCACCTTATGACCACATATTAGCCATTATAGTACTGTTATTATTACCACATATGCGCTGTTCATTAGGGATCCAAGTTACATACAAATCCAACCTAAAGATGTTCTCAGGGACATCTGAGATATCTGATATATCTGATCCGTAACCGGGGGACCACCTGTATAATACTTTCGTATAAAAAAACTAGCACGGCTGGCTTCATGTGGTCTTTATTAATTGGACAAATACAGGAAAATCTGCAATCATCTATCAAAAGTGTATCTCACCAAGAATTTGAAAGGTATTTGTAAAAAGGATATATTCACAGTCTGTCTGAATCAGGTACAAAGCAGTGTCCATAGAAGCAGAAGCCAGACAATGAACACGTGAGAGTAGATGGCCTTGCTGAAACTCTCATCTCAGCACCTCCAACTGCACAGACAAGACTGTCCTGTACTCGCCCTTCTATATAGTTGATTTTGAAGCTGCCTAGTTTCATCAACAGGTATGTATTTCAAAAAGAAAATTGCTTTCTGGGAAATCTTTCCAGCTATACAGACCAAGTGGAAATGCCAACACCACATCCAGGGGCCCAGGGTGGACTCAGTACCCGGCAGGAGGGGTTCCACTGCCCAAGGCCCTGGGAGAAGGCTCTGGCATTTAAAAAAATTGGTTTATTTCAGCACCAGCATGCTTTTTAATATGCAAATCTGAGATGTTTCTTACTAGAGGAGAAGACTGTTCAGATGATGACAAATAGAAGATTCTGAGCTGGGAGGCTGATGACAGCCTTGTTGGCACACTCTGGTAGGCAATTTCACCAAGCACTGTGAAGAGCTGAAACCAGTGTTTTTTTTTTTTCTTTCTTTTTTTTTTTTTTGAGACAGAGTCTCACTGTGTTGCCTGGGCTAGAGTGCCATGGCGTCAGCCTAGCTCATAGCAACCTCAGACTCCTGGGCTCAAGCGATCCTCCTGCCTCAGCCTCCCAAGTAACTGGGACTACAGGCATGCACCACCATGCCCGGCTAATTTTTTCTATGTATTTTTAGTTGTCCAATTAATTTCTTTCTATTTTTAGTAGAGACGGGGTCTCGCTCTTGCTCAGGCTGGTTTCGAACTCCTGAGCGCAAACAATCCGCCCGCCTCAGCCTCCCAGAGAGCTAGGATTACAGGCGTGAGCCACCACGCCCGGCCGAAACCAGTGTTTTTAATCTCCTGCGTTTTAGGAATTTACAAAGAGGTGAGAAGATCATATCGATCACTTCTGGGCTGACAATTATAATGATGATACGGTATTGTTTCCATCCCAAGGGCAAAACAAAATGTCCGATTTTCAAGTCTCTTTCCAAATTCGCTGTTCAGAATACCTTTGGAGGTAAAAAGAATGGCAGGTCAGACTGTTCTTTATAGACTATCCAAAAGCAAATTTAGAGAAAAAAGAGTACTTGAAGGATTGGTATCTGAAAGAATCAACTCACCTTTGTAACATCAATTTTATAAGCCCTCAGTAATGGCAGCCATGAAAAGTGGTTATTGACAAATACCCAGTATTTTAAAGAAGTTAAAGTGTCATATACCAGAAAACCAGAGACTACAACTACATTCTGAGTTAGATGCCAGCACCATGTCAGGAACACAGAAGACATCGAACAAATCTTTTCATGTGGTTTCTGAGCTCTTTTTCTTCTGGGTTTAGATCACAAATGGTCAAATATACAAAGCCTGGTTCTGGGGTTTGGGATCAGAGGCTTCCTGTAGACGCCTGACCCTGGGAGACTTTATTGGGAAGTTTAACTTCTATTTCACATTCTGTAAGTCATGACCAAGAAAACATATAATACATATATTATATATAAATATATATTACATATATACTAAGTTATCTGAGGCCAAGTAAAGAAGTGCTAAAGTATTATTTGTTTGGGGATTTATTAAGGAAGGATTTGTAAAATCAGAGGGACACTAAAAAATGGGGACCCAGGAATTTAAAAGTAAAAACAAGTCAGGCATGATGGCTCACACCTGTCATTCCAGCATTTTGGAAGGCAGAGGCAGGAGGATCGCTTGAGGCTAGCAGTTTGAGACCAGCCTGAGCAACACAGCGAGACCCATTCTCTACAAAAAGTAGAAAAATTAGCCAGGCACGGTGGCACATGCCTATAGTCTCAGCTACTAAGGAGGCTGAGATGGGATCACTTGAGCCCAGGAGTCTGAGGTTACAGTGAGCTATGATGACGCCACTGCACTCCAGATTGGGCAACAGAGAGAGACCCTGTCTCCAAAAAAAAAAAAAGTAAAAACACTGTCCCTTTAGATATTGTTTCTGTAGTGAAATCAATAAATTGCTTACTATGACTTTTTTCTTCCAGGTTGTTCAGAATGCTTCCCATTCTCCATTTTTTTCTGACTGAGAAATTTAGTCCTTAGAGTGAGAGCTATGACCCTAGGACCACACATTAACCTAGAGAGAATCCAAAAGAGGAAGGCCAGCCCTCCTCTCTGAAAAAATCTACAAATATTCCAAATATGATTAGTATTCCCATAGGCATCATAGTGACCTTCTGTATATAATTAAATACCCTTTACTCTACAGGCCAGTCAGACCGAGACACTTAGTGGCTACTTTTCTTCCTACAGCCTTTCTTCTTTTTATTCAGAGGGTCGGTTTGCCTGGTCGTGCTTTGTTGCCATGTTTGCTGGCTCCACGGCCACCCCCTCTCCCGTGTGTGAAGGCACATCCTCAGTGAAACTGCCACTCTTCTCTCCAGTGAAAATCTATTTTTTATGGTGGAACACCAGCATTTTGGCATTTCAGGAATGACTGAACTGATTCTAAAAAGAATGTTTAAAAGAAAAGTTCTGTGTCTGAGATCAGTGATTTAAAGAAATAGATGGGTCCTCTGTGTGCTGTTTCATACCGTGGCTGAGATGTGGCTCAAACGTGAACAGAATCACTGCCATCTTTCTACATAGGACAGTAACACATAGGATGGGTTTAAACACGCACCCTCCACATACCCTCTCCTGAAGGGAAACTTGTCATGAAAGATGCAACACATTCGGGACCCTCAAGAATGCTTCCAATCATAAACTGGCGCTCAAGTGGCTTTGTTGTAGCTGTGCTTTCTCGAGGACAGCACCCATGCTGCCACGTGTCTGAGGAGGAAAAGCATGAATCTGGGAAAAAGGGACTAAAAGGAAAACATAAATTGAGATGACAGAACCTACTGCTCTACGTCCCACTCTTCCTTGGCATAGCTCTTATTTTTCCTGCTGTTCCTAACTGCCTATTATATGCCAGTTTTCACTTATACTCGAGTTAGTACATGAACACTACTCCTGGTTAGTTTCTTATGAGAAGTTATCTCGTGACAGAAAACAAATACTCTAAACTCCAAAGAGAACCCCAAACTGGATCACATGATAGGCTGGGAGAGAAAACAGCATGAAACAGAGGAAAAGCCAGCCTTTCTTCGGCCATAGGAGGAAACTAAGATTCTCACAAATGCTTACCATCTGGTCACCATGGCTGAGGGTTCTCTGTGGTAAAAGGAGGGTTGTGCCCCAGCAAGGCTTCATTTAGAGGTGTCACGTGCCCCCAGGCTGATGGCTCTGTGCACCGAACGCGCAGAGACTCAACTCCACTCCGCTGCCCGATTCACACAAAGGTACGTTGACAGAAATGTTTAGGCAGACAGGAGACCACAAAGCACCCATTGTGAAGTTCCTGAGGAATAACCTGGATCTCCTCCCTCACATCATTAGCTCATTCTGTGCCCTTGGCCGTCGGAGGCCCCTTCTTTCTCCCTCTTGGCAGCTGGTTCTCCTCCCGACCCCAGGTTCTCCAGCTCACCAAGTGATGGCTGTCTCCAAACTGTTGCTTTGTACTGACACAACTAATTCATGATCTTATAAACCACCAGCTTAAAAGGATATTAGTTCAAATTCTGGCCTACTGTCAGAGGCAGTGGGTTATAGGAAAAAAAGGAAAACCAGGACAGAAAGTGCTTCACCAGCCATTTTACTCTTCTTTAATTCTACTGTCTTTGGGCACACATCGTATCTGCTATGGAAGAAGGTACGACAGCAAGGCTGATAGCACTGATTCATAACACATTCTTTGCACCATACAAAGAGTAAAATCCTAGAATACCAGGATCATCTGCTACCATGACAGAGCTGCCTTACTTGCTGTAGGAGAGGACTGCTTGCATGGGAATGGAGAGAGGGATGGGACAGAGGAGGCATCTCGGGGCAAGTGAACCTACACGTGTATCTAAAAATTAGGAATTTGATGGAAAATCCAGAATTAACTTAAGGATGATAGGGAATTGTTGAGCAATAGTTCCATTATTTTCAGAAATTACTGAATTTGGAACCTGAGGTTAATACTTTTAGGATAAAGCAACTTCAAATAAGTTCAGACTGGCCTTGGGAAGAAATGGTGACCAGAGATGGTAATGAATTTCAGTGCTTGAGAACAAAAATGGTCAAAATCAACTTACACATATGACTTGACTCAAAGTGGGGGCTGGGGGGAGTCTTATTTAAAAATTATAAATCTGCAGCAAAGAAGTCTGGAAGTGAAAGCGTGAGCCCCTCTCCACCTCTCCATTTTGCTGCTGGTGCTTGCTCTCCTCACAGTATCTCCTGCAAAGGTTCAGAATTCAATTAATATAGATTTATTAGGTTGATTTTCAACATGTAGTTTAAGATGAAGAGTTCTGTTTGGTTTAAACCACTTCATTTAACCTTTTGGTAATGGTAGTCCTGAGCGTCTGCAGCGTTGGTAAAATCTCCCTGTGACAAAGGGTCAAACCGTTGAGGGAGCACAGCAACTTCTTGGCCCATCACGTTTCCTTGTCCTTGTCCCTCAAATCAGGTAGTTTTGCACCGAGGGACACAGTCCACCATGATGAAGGTGTTCAAAACCATTTTCTAAAGATATCTCCTTCCAATGTCCAATACTGCAGGTGGTCAGGAAAACTTGGAAGGAAGCTGCAAAAGTCCAGCCGGGAATCTTGATTTTGTTAGATGTGGACACAGGCAAATCACCTTTGTCCTCCCCAGATTTTATTATAGTCAAAGGAGAAACATTGATGGGATTCTAACTGCAAATGTGCTAGATATAAAATTGATGGAATGCTAACTGGTCCATGAAGGGCTGTACAAGATAATCCGTGGCAAAGTAGAAAACAAGCCCAAAGGTGATAGAGATTGGAAGAGCTGGCAATGCTTTCTTGAAAATGGCGAGGAGTAGTAATGTAAGGCACAGACCCTGCGGAGAGGATGGGAAAGACACAAATTCATACGTAATTCTGAAATCATTTTCAGGCAAAACAACTCAATCACAAATCTTCATTTTAACCTTTTTTTAAATTATTATTTTAAAAAATCCTTTTAGAGACAGGGTCTCCCTCTGTTGCCCAGGCTGGAGTGCAGTGGTGCCATCATAGCTCACTGTAACCTCAAAATTCTCAGGGGATCCTCCCGCCTCAGCCTCCCGAGTAGCCGGGACTACAGGCGTGAGCTACCATGCTCAGCTTTGGTTTTAACTTAGTTAATTGAATACTTTCCTTTGGGGTTAAATTTTAGAACAAATATTTCATCTGGAAGAGCTGCCATGAAAAAAAAGTAGCTTCTTAATTAAAAAGGAAACATTTATTTTTCCTTGCTACAGTTTACTATGCTCACACTGTTGATATTTTATTCCCTAATTCTAGGAAAGGAATAGAGTTTGAAAATAACTAATTTTTTTTTTTTTTGAGACAAGAGTCTCGCTCTGTTGCCTGGGCTAGAGTGCTGTGGTGTCAGCCTAGCTCACAGCAACCTCAAACTTCTTGGCTCAAGTGATTCTCCTGCCTCAAGCCTCCCGAGTAGGTAGGACTATAGGCGTGCACTAATTTTTCTACTTTTTATTTCTATTTTTAGTTGACTGGTTAATTTTTTCTATTTTTAGTAGAGGCAGGGTCTCGCTCTTGCTCAGGCTGGTCTTGAACTCCTGAGCTAAAAGCAATCCTCTTGCCCCAGCCTCCCAGAGTGCTAGGATTACAGGCATGAGCCACCATACCTGGCCAAAGTAAAACTATTTTTGAAAAAAAATTAAATACTGAAATTTCTATCTAATGTATTGAGTTGGGCTGGGCATGATGGCTTATGTCCGTAATCCTAGCACTCTGAGAGGCCAAGGCAGGAGGATCACTTGAGGCCAGGCGTTCAAGACCAGCCCGAGCAACATAGCACGACCTCTTCTCTACAAAAAACAGAAAAATAAGCTGGCCATGGTGGTGCACACCTCTAGTTCCAGCTTCTCAGGAGGCTGAGGCAGGAGGATCGCTTGAGCCCAGGAGTTTGAGGTTGCAGTGAGCTATGACGATGCCACTTCACACTAGCCTGGGTAACAAAATGAGAACTGTGTCTCAAAAAAATAAAATAAAATAAAATACTGAGTGGGCCTCTATGATTTTAGTTTTGGTAGTTAAAATCCCAGAGGTGAAAAGCATTCTTTATGCTGTGATAGGAACAAAGAGATGTTCACAGAACAAACTGCTAACAAAAGTTTGTTTATGAAGAGTAGAAGCCACATAATATAGTTCATTTTTTATCCTATTTACTGAGACAGTAACTACAAAGTCTGGAGGCTGAGGACAATTTTGGTTCATTCAGAATAAGTAATCTTCTTAAAAGACATAACACATTCAATAAATACTCTCGAATCCAGAAAACAAACCTCAAAAAAGAAACAAAATAAACGAAAATTCAAACTTACCATGATAAATCACAAATGTAATTGCAAAATAAATGCATAAGTAAAGTCTCTTACCTAATCTTTCATCTAACTTCACTCACATACTATAAATATACGTCAAGGATATCACATCTTTAGGAAAAATAGCAGTAAGAGATATTTTACGAAGTTTTTACTTAAATCATGGTTTTGAAAGCTTCAGAGTTCAAGTTGTAGCACTCTAAGCAAGATCTCCGTGGGATCATGCATGGGGTTAGTTTCTCTCACAGGATACTTGCTGCCCAAAGGAACACTGTATGCTGTACCTTGTGTCACTAAATGCAAAATGATCAAACCCTCAGTGACTAAGTCCAGGGACTGAGTGAAGATCTGTTTATCTCTAAGACTGACCTCTAGCAGAGCTAATTTCATACACATCTTTGCTGCTGTGCTTGAAGCAGTGGTTCCCAATCAGAAGTACTTATCAGAATTTCCTGGGAAACTCTGAAAAACTACACAAGTAAAACAAATTAAATAAGAATATCTCAGGGCAGAGCTTACAGTTTTAAAAGCTCCCAGCTGATTTTAATGTGTGGCCAGGAAGGAGAACTACTGAGGTGAGGTCCATTATCTGTGTTTTTAAAAAGCTCCTCAGGGACTGGAACACTTAGCCCAGCTGGGATTAAAACAGACCTGCCTTTAAAAGGATAATCAGTTTTGACATTAGGAGTTCTGACACATTTTATTATGTATACTTACAATTAATATGGCTACAAAACAGGCTATGGTTGTGTTCCAGTCTCCGCTGGCTGTTGCTGAGGCTTTACCAACCAGAACACTGTAGAAAATGAAATCTCCCAATCCAAGTTTTACTCCCCCTGAAAAGGAAAGATTATGAATATAAAAAAGTTACTCTTTGCTATGATTTCACAATTCAAAAATATCACTGCCCTACTCCACCCCACATTGAATGAGAAGTAAATGATATACTTAGGTTTTACCTAAGTTTTCTTTGTTTTTTTTGGTTTTCAACAATAGGAGTTTCAGATTCTGTGTGACTGACTCTGGAATCTTAACAGATGCTGGTGTTATTTATCAATAATAATAATTGTCATCTATCAAATGCCTAGCTTATACTCAATACTTATACTAATAAATTAATAAATTCTCATAAGAACCCCTATGAGACAGGCATCATCTTTTTTAAAAAAACAGCTTCACTGAGGTATAATTTCTTTTAAAATTTATTCATTGTAAGATTCAATGATTGTGGAAAACGTACAGAGCTGTACAACCATCATCACAATCCACACTTCCACCACCCCTGTAAGATACCATCTACCGATTTACAGTTAATACCTGCTTCTACTCCAGGCCTTAAGCAACCACTGATTTGATTTCTATCTCTAGAAATTTGCCTCTTCTAGACATTTCATATAAATAGATTCATACAATCTGATGCTCATATTCATACAATATGTGACTGGCTTCTTTTAATATAGTACTTTTGAGGTTTATGTATGATATTGCATGTGCCTGTTCCTTTGTATTGCTGAATGGTTTTCCATTGTATGGATATACTATTACTTTGTTTATCCATTTACCAGCTGATGGACATCTGTATTATTTTGAGGTTTTGGGTATTATGAATAATGCTGATGTAAACATTCGAGTGCATGACTCTGTGGGGATAGATTATTTTCTTTCTGTTGGGTAGATATCAAGGAGTGGAACTGCTGAGTTATATGGTAAGTTTAGGTTTTCAATAAACTGCCAAGTTGTTTTCCATACTGGCTGCACCAGTTTACATTCCCACCAGCAACACAAGAGGGTTCTAGTTTCTCCACATCCTCACCAACACGTGCTATTGTTAGTCTTTTTAATTACAGATATTCGGATTAATGATGCTGAACATTTTTTCATGCACTTATTAGCCATTATATTTCTCCTTTAGTGAAATGTCTAGTCAAAGCATTCCCCCCGCTCACACCTTTTTTTTTTTTTTTTTTTTAAGACAAGGTCTCACTCTGTTGCCTGGGCTAGAGTGCAGTGGTATCATCACAGCTTATTGCAACCTAACACTTCTGAGCTCAAGTGATCCTCTCACCTCAGACTCCCAAAGGGGTAGGATTACAAGCATGCGCCACCACACCTGGCCCCCATATTTAATTTGGACAATTTTATTAAGTTTTAAGTATTTATTTATTTATTTTATTTTATTTTTTGAGACAGAGTCTTGCTCTGTTGCTCAGGCTAGAGTGCCATAGCGTCACAGCAACTTCATCACTTCTGGGCTCAAGCAATCCTCCTGCCTCAGCCTTCCATGTAGCTGGGACTACAGGTGTGTTCTACCATGCCTGGCTAATTTTTTTTATTTTTAGTAGAGACAGGGTCTTGCTCTTACTCAGGCTGGTCTCGAACTCCTGATCTCAAGCCATCCTCCCGCCCTGGCCTTCCAGAGTGATGAGATTACAGGCGTGAGCCACCGTGCCTGGCCTGTAAGCATTCTTTATGTATAATAAATATAAGTCGTTTAACAGGACTTGTAATATGATTTGCAAATACTTTCTCTCAAGCAGTGGCTTCTTTTCCTTTTAATTTTTTAAAAAATTTAATTGTGATAAAATACCCATAAAAGTATTTTATCACATCATCCATCCATAGAACTCTTTCCATCTTGCAAAACAGAAATTCTGTACCCATTAAACACTAACTCTTCATTTCCCTCCCTCTAACCCCTAGCAACAATCATTCTATTTTCTGTCTCTATGAATTTGACTACTCTGATATAAGTGGAATCATACAGTATTTTTCTTTTTGTGACTGTCTTATTTCACTGAGCAAAATGTCCTCAAGGTTTATTTATATTATACCACATGTCAGAAAGTCCTTCCTTTTTAAGGCTGAATAATATTTCATTGAATGTACATACCACCAAAACTCTGTCCCCCTGAGTGCAGTGGTATCATCATAGTTCACTGCAACCTCAAACTCTTGGGCTCAAGCAATCCTCTTGCCTCAGCCTTCTGAGTAGCTGGGACTATAGGCACGCGCCACCATGCCCGGCTACTTTTTTCTATTGTTTAGTACAGACAGCATCTTGCTCTTGGTTAGGCTGGTCTTGAACTCCCCTGGGAGGACTGCCTGAGCCTAGGAGCTTGAGACCAGCCTAAAGAAGAGCTTGTCTCTACAAAAAACTTAAAAGTTAGGTAGGTGTGGTGGCGTGGGCCTGTAGTCCCTCCCAGATACTCGGGAGGCTGAGGCGGAAGGATCAACTGAGCCCAGGAGTTCGAGGCTCAGTGAGCTATGATGATACTACTGTACTCCAGTCTGAACAACAGAGCAAGATCCTGTCCCAAGAAACAAACAAAAAAACTCACTAAAAGAGGCAAAGTTCTTCAGGATAAAAAAAGGCTACAGAAATGAATTTCAAAAAATAATGCAGGAGAAAATTTTTACAAATCATTTATCTGATATGGGACTTACATCTGGAATAAAAAACAATGATAACTCAAAAACAGACAAAAAATGAGCTAATGATCTGAATGGATAGTTCTCCAAAGAAAATATACAAATGACTAATAAACATGACACAAAAAGATACTCAACATCACTAGCCATCAGGGAAATGCAAATCAAAACCACAACAAGATACCACTTTATACCCACTACAATGGTTATAATAAAAAAGACAGACAGTAACAAGTGTTGGCAAGGATGTGGAGAAACTGGAACCCTTATACACTGCTGGTGGGAAAGTAAAATAGTGTAATCATTTTGGAAAATGGTCTGGTAGTTCCTCAAAAGGTTAAATATGACCCTGTAATTCTACTCCTAGGTACCTACTCAGGAGAGATAAAAATGTATGTCCCTACTCCTAGGTATATACTCAAGAGAAATAAAAACATATGTCCATACAAAGATGTGAACACAGGTGGTCATAGTAATATTATTCATAATAGCCAAAAATGGAAACAACCCATATGCCCATTAACTGATAATGAATAATAAATGTGGTATATCCATACAATGGAATATTATTATTTATTTATTTCCAAGACAGAGTCTCACTCTGTAGCCTGAGCTACAGTGCCGTGGCATCAGTCAGCCTAGCTCACAGCAACCTCAAACTCCTGGGCTCAAGCAATCCTGCCTCAGCCTCTCCAGTAGCTGCGACTACAGGCATGCAGCACCATGCCTGGCTGATTTTTTCT